ACCTTTTCTATCACTTTATGGTTTGGTATGTCCCTTGAATACAGCATATAGTTAATTTTAAAATCCAGTCTAGCAATATTTATTTTTTACAGAATAATTAGGTCTACTTAACTTTTTTTTTTTAAAGACTTTATTTATTTATTTGAGAGAGAGAGAGAGACAGCGAGAGAGGGAACACAAGCAGGGGGAGTGGGAGAGGGAGAAGCAGGCTTCCCGCCGAGCAGGAGCCCGATGCGGGGCTCGATCCCAGGACTCTGGGGTCATGACTTGAGCCGAAGGCAGATGCTTAACAACTGAGCCACCCAGGCGCCCCAGGTCTACTTAACTTTAATATAATTGTTGATATAATTAATTTTAAATTTACTATCTGTATTTTTTCTATTTGTCCTCCTTGATCTGTGTTTTTACTTCTTTCTCTTTTCGGATTAGTTATCTTTTAAACTATTATAACTTTTTTTTATTGCTTTATGTACTTTACTTCCATTTTTCCTTCTATGTTTTTCATTGTATTTCACTTTGCTTCTATTCTTTCAGTGATTAATTAAAAATTAGTCTTAATCTTTAATTATTTTTCTTTTTCAGTTAATTTTAACCCTTGATTTATCTAGCATAGTAATACTTATTACATTTACCCTCATCCTGGACACTATAGAGACCTTGGAATACTTGTATTCCATTTTGTGTCATCTACATATATGCAGTTATTATTTGTTATAGTTCTGAGTATTAAGCCCCAGAAGATAATTTATACACTTTTATATGATCAATGTTAGATTTATCCATGTATTTATGGCTACCTTTCTCTTTATATCTTTCCGTGACCGTCTTTCCATATGGAATCATTTTTCTTCTGCCTGAGAAACATCATTTAGAAATTTCTTTTGTGTTAGTCTGCTTGGGAAGAACTGTTTCAGCTTTTTTTCCTCTGAAAGTGCCTTTATTTTACTTTAATTATTGAAGACTTTTTATTAAGTATGTAAGTCTAGGAGGCAGTTACTTTCAGAACATTGAAAATATTTGCATTTGATTTTTGTTTTTCAGAAGTTAGTCAATGGTCTGACTGCTGCTGATTGGAATGTAATCTCTCTTTTTTCTCTGGGTATTTTTTTTTTTTTACAGTTTTTGTCTTTGTTTTTTATTTTCTGCAGTTTTACTGTTTTCTCTACCAATGATGTCCCTTTATTTACCTTGTATGGGATTGGTTGGCTTTCTGGAATCTGTTGATTTGTATCTTTCATATTGCCTGGAAAACTCTCAAATATTACTTCTCCAAATATTGCCTTTGCCTTGTTTTCTCTCTCTCTTCTACTTCCAAGACTCTAACCAAAATATAAGATACACCTTCTGATCCCATTTGCTATTTTTCTGTGTGTTTAGTATTACATTTTTTCTCCTTGTCCTACATTTTGAATTTTTTTCTTCTTCCCCATATTCTGCTTTACTGTTTTCTTTTCAGCTGTGACTTCTCTCCTGTTAAACTCTTTCATTGAGTTCTTAATTTTAGCTATTTTTATTTCATTTCAAAATTTATTTTTTCCCCCACCAAGGGAAGAAAATGTTTCCAGGAAGAGGAAAGGATCAACTGTAAAATGTTGCCAGATTAGACTAAACGAGGGTTAAGAACTGACCACTGGGTTTAGCAAAAAGATTTTGGCAGCCTTGACAAGAGCAGTTTCAGGAGGTTGATGAGAATAAAGGTGTGATTGTAGTGGATTCTAGATGAGGGATTGAATATGCAAATGGAACAATGGCCAGACCATATATAAAAATAGAATTCTGAGCCACAATCTGCAGCAACCAATGCTGGAGACCAATCCATTATTTACACTAACCAGCCCAGATTATAGTTGTAAAAAGAAATGTCTCCTTTTGTCCCTTTCGACTACAAGACGCCTATGCTTACCCTTTGAAAAGTTGGAAAGATTTTGAAAAGATTGTGATCAAGGTGTGAAAAGATTATACATTTACTCCCCCTACCGAACGCTAAGCTGCTAGGAAATGTAAATGCCTTATCTTTAGACTCTCAGCACACTTCTACTGCAAAGAATTAATTTTCCCCAGAGGGCATCTGGCTTTGACTTCCTTTCCACATGATAAAGCTGCTAATTGCCTCAGAAAAGATTTCTGAGTTATAGTACAAAGGTAAGCATACTTGGGGTCAATTAATAATTCTGTTTCGGCTAAATCTTATCATTATTATATCACTGCTACACGAGACTTGGAGCTAGTTTGTGTCTCAGTGCACCATTTATTACCTTTCTGACCATGAGCAAGCTGCTTGACCTCTTTTAGCTTTATTTCTCATGCACAAGATTGAGATAGATAATAGTGAGATATTCTCACCCAAGCTAAATGTTGGAGTGTTCCAGCCTTGTTTAGATGGATGTCTACTTTGTTACCCTGCCTTTCCAGTAAGTTTTGTTTTTACTTTTTGCTGAGAATCAGCCTAGAAGTTATTGGAGGAAGAGAAACTAAATTGTGGTGGCAAAAAACAAGTTAGACTGTGATAAGGGTCAACCTCACCTATATAGGATAAAACCCTAAGAAACAAAGTTATTGTATGGAAATTTTCAAGGATTAAGACCACTGTACGTGCTGCTTCTGATTTCTAAAAGTACAAAATTTTCATTCAAATAACTCTCCTATCGTAAACTCTTACAAGAGTCCATCAATTCACACCTACCCACCCCTAGTAGTTCTGTGAGCTGAGAGCTTTTCAGAGTTCAAAAATACTGGTCTGACTCCCACAGACTTTGATCACAAAGTGAAGTTTACTTATTATCTGGACTCTGCTGGAGGAACTATAGGCAGGAGCATTAGCTGAATCATTAGAGTAGAAGCTTCTAGCTGAAGTAGTATTGCATTATAAAATGCTCTTCAAACTGCCAATTTCACCTGTAGTGAAGTTCCTTACCACTACTCTAGTCTGCCTCCCTCATAGGTTACTACAAAGACAATATCACCATTATTTTCATCAGAATATTGAGGGTCAGAATTGTGTCACCAATAGTAAGGTTCTTAGAAATTCTGGATTATGTTGTCATAAAGGGGGGTCATTTCTTTTGCATGGAATGTTGAAAGGATTGATAGTATGCAGATAGCGTCTTAGATTTGCTGTAAGTTGAAATAGCTTTAAGGAAAAAGTGATAAAATAGAGCTTCTATAGAAAACATTCTATATATTAGAATTCCATGACAATGAGCTTTTGGTAAAGCCACTGATTTGGTCACTGAAAATCTTAGGAAAGAATCTCAAGGGCGCCCAGGAAAATTAGACAAAGGGCTTTATGAATATATTCATAATGACAAAAAAAAAGTGGGTTTAGAGAAAGAGGAAATGGACATGGTCATCCCAGACTAAGACAACCTATAAAAGACAAATTATAATACCAACCAGAAATTAACCATAAAGACTAGATGATATAAAAAGTCATAGATGCAAATTAATTTTTTTTTAAAGATTTTATTTATTTGACAGAGACAGTGAGAGCAGGAACACAAGCAGGGGGAGTGGGAGAGGGAGAAGCAGGCCCCCTGCGGAGCAGGGAGCCCCATGCGGGGCTCCATCCCAGCACCCCGGGATCATGACCCAAGCCGAAGGCAGACGCTTAATGACTGAGCCACCCAGGTGCCCCGAAAATTAATTTTTTAAGTTGATGAAATCACTTTGAGGATACATGAAGCAGAGAAAGATTTGATAGATCAAGTAGTAAGAATAACTAAGAATAAAAAACTCATTGAATTTCTAATGGAAACTTGAAATTTAACCAATGAGGAACTTTTTATAATGAATGGCTGTTGAAGAAAAACATCAGGTAAAGTATCAAATCTCTTGAAAAACACTTTCAGCATTAGCAAATATATAAAGGTAGTATATTACAGCAATTCAAGAGATACACAACAGCATATAAAACGTATTAAGCAAAATTGTGCTGTAGACAAGTATATGCAATTACTTAAAACTTTGTTGATAGGTTTCAATAGTTCCTAAAATATATGGTTGTTAAAGAAGGAATTGAGTAGAGAATAAAGTATTACTGACTGCTTTTTACTTGTAAAGAATGTAAAAATAAAATAAATTTTTGTGGGTGCCTGGGTGGCTCAGTTGGTTAAGCATCTGCCTTTGGCTCAGGTCATGATCCTGGAGTCCCAGGATTGAGTCCTGCATTGGGCTCCCTGCTCAGCAGGGAGTCTGCTTCTCCCTCTGACCCTCCCCCCTCTCATGTGCTCTCTCTCAAATAAATAAATAAAATCTTTAGAAAAAAATAAAATAAATTTTTGGTCAATTCTGTATGAGATTTAAATGATCTTACCTTAAAAAATATATCAAATAATTGTTCACAAATTATTTTCTGTAGTAAAGAAGAGAAAAATTTTAGTTAAAATAGGCAAATAAGACTTTGCGTCTCCCTTTGAGAAAAGCGTATTTGTGATTTTTAAAGTATGAAGCCTATGAATATGATGTTCTTATAAAATATCATCAGTATATGGAAATATAAATGTCATATATAGATGTAAATTCTCCTGTGGTTCTTCTGAGCATCATGATTTTCATTGATCATTAAATACTGGAAATTAGTCTATCTGCCTTAGTTACAGTGTTTGCTCCATTATCCTAGTTGTTTTTACATTTGGAAAGTACAGTTGCTTATTAGAAAAAAAGTATTTCATCCTTCCAGATCATGAATCTCTTTCACTCCTCTTCCACAACAATACTCATTTCCTCACGTTTTCCTGAGCATTCTCTCATTTTTCAAAGAAGCAGCTATTTTACTACAAAGGAATTGTGAAGGATGGGGTGGGTACTGTTATACTCTCTTGGTGAGAATGTGAAGGAAATCAAACTGCCTGTTTTAAATCTGGCTTCTACTTCTTATAACGTTGGGCAAGTTACTAAATTCCTCTTTGTCTAGTTTCCTCATTTACAAAACAGAGACAACAAGAGTGTCTAGTCATAGTTTATTATGAGGGTTAAATGAAAAAAGACATATCAAGCATGTTTGCCTGGCATATAGTAAGCACCCTACAAATATATGTGATGATGATGATGATAACAGACAATCTGACAACATTTATCTAAAGAAAAAAAATGTACATTTCCTTGGACTGAGTGATGTTGGTTCTAGGAATGTATCCTAGGGAGATAGTAAGTTGAGTGCTTAAAGATAGGTACAAGACTATTCATTGCAGTGCTGGTTGTAACAATAAAACATTAGAAGTATCCTGCATGTCCATGAAGAGACATCTCTTCTTAGGGATATTTCCACTCATATATATGTCATTTTTCTTCTCTACAACATTTACATTAAACAGTTAATTTCCTTAGATATAGCCAAGATAAACACTCCACAAATTCTTGATGTCTTTCAGGGAGGTGACTTTAAAAACAAACAAACCAAAATGGGACATTGATCCTGTATGCATTCCCAGAGGAATAGAGACCTCATTGTATGTAGTAGGGGAACTCTTATAAATGAGCTATTCCTCACATGTCATGTAGAGGTTGATATAGAATAATCTGGATTCAAATGATAAAATTTTAGAGGCACTGGCCAAGCTTTGAACCAATTTTAGAAATGAGGATTTGCCATATTTTAGCCCCAAGAAACAGAATTAGTAAAGGGAGAATACAGTTAGAATAGAATATCAATAAAAACTTTAGTCTTTCTCTTGAATTCTGAGAGTTTCATAAGCCCCAAACCCAGAGTTTCAAACTAGGGAAGACATGCTAAGTAGTTTGAGAATGGGGAGAATGCTGCAAAAATTAAGGATGTATTTCTCAAAAAAGGAGAATGATGGTAGTGGTTAGAAGAGGCAATTTCCTTCCTCTTATCTAATTTCGGCTCCAGAGCCTCCAGCAGAAACTCTTCAAAATCTTGCATGTTACAGACTTCACTACCCCCATCGGATTGGAGATAACATGTGGCTCGTGACAGCTCTGCTCCTTTGGGGTAAGTTGGGCTTAGTGGGGATAGCTAGAAGGGTACTGCCTCTGGCTATGGGGACTCAAGACTTTTTGTCTTCCTTTGGTATCCTAGGCTAGAACTCATGAATATGGGGACAACTGTATCTGTGCTTCCGTGGTTTATTCATGCTCATTATATCAAAAGCATAGGAAGAGAGACTTAGTGGTTAATATTTAGCCTGGAAGCATCATATCAAAATAAAGCCTTATCAATAACCATCTACAGGCTGTTCGTACCACTAGTGCCTGATTTGGAAAGGGGGTAGAGAGAGACTCAAGAGACTAAGCTGGCCCCTCAGAGTCTATATTAGTTTTGACTCCTTGATTCCCTTCCTTGTCATCTCCCACTGACCAACTTATGCCTCTATTCTTTGGTCTCTTACAGTTCCAGCTGGTGCGCAAACGGGTGAGTAATCTTTAACTCAGTTTCTCTTTCTCTGCCACATTCCTTCTTCTAATGGGTGAGTTTTGTTATCCTGAAGAAGAGAGTATAGGGAGAGGATAGAAACAAGAAAGATTTACAAATTATGTAAAGTCCCCTATATTCAGAGTATGATTTTGATAAAATCCTGGTTTTTAAGGATTCTCTCTAAGGTTTCCTGAGAAAGCCCTGACCTCAGGACTAAATGCCTACGTGTATATAATAGCAGGAAAAGGCCAGAATTGCAAAACCATAGACGTAGCTCTGCTGGGTTTTCTAACATTTCTTGAAACCGTCCCCTTTAGAAGAAAGCCGAGTACTTTTTTTCTCCTCAGGGAGAACCAAGCAAGAGAACCAAGAAGGTTTCAAAGTGAGGAGTTTGAGTCTTGGTTTCCAATGCAGATGCTAATTAAGGCCTGAGTTTAACCCTCAACGACAGTATTGCACAGGGGGTAAGAGAACCAGCTCCAATCAACTTGCCTTGGTTTAAAACCCTGCTTCTTTGTTTACCAACAGTGAAAACTAAATTAGTCATTTGTTTCTTAGGAACCCCAAAGCTCCAAAATCCAGATGTAGATTTAATAACATGAACAGAGCTCTCTGCATGGGATCTGGATACTCTCAGTAGCTAGTTTTTATAGGTTCCCACTTGCTTATTTTTCAATCTCATTTAATATGTATTTTTACCTTGTGCTATCCACAAAACCTTACCAATTGCTCAGACCTTCCTTTTATTCCACTTTTTTTTTTTTTAATCCCTAAAACAGACCCCACAAAGGCAGTGATCACCTTGCAGCCTCCTTGGGTCAGTGTATTCCAAGAGGAAAATGTAACCTTATGGTGTGAGGGACCCCATTTACCTGGGGACACCTCTACACAGTGGTTTCTCAATGGCACAGCCATTCAGACCTTGACCCCCAGACACAGAATTGCTGCTGCCAGTGTCGGTGACAATGGTGAATACAGATGCCAGACAGGTCTCTCAGTGCCAAGTGACCCAGTACAGCTGGAAGTCCACAGAGGTAAGTATGGCATGGAGCAGGAGAGTTGGAAATCACAAGGTCTTCCTTTGTTTTCTCCTTTCTGCATGCCAGATACGTGTGTTTTCGTTTACTGGAGTATGAGTCTCAGCTCTATGTGCCTACTAGGTGAAATTAAGTCAAGATACTCAGAATATCACATTAGGGTCCTTAAACTGTGCCCCAACAGCACCCCAATTGGGACAGCTGTGAGCAGGGTATCTAGTGTAAAACTCAGACCCTAAGATTTTATTACTTAAAATGATCTAATCTGGGGGCACCTGGATGGCTCAGTTGGTTAAGTGCCTGCCTTTGGCTCAGGTCATGATCTCAGGGTCCTGGAATTGAGCCCCGCATCGGGCTCCCTGCTCAATGGGGAGCCTGCTTCTCCCTCTGCCTCTCACTCTGCGTGCTCATGCTCTCTCTCACTCACCCTCTCTCAAATAAATAAATAAAATCTTTTAAAAAAACAAAAACGACCTAATTTTGTTGAAAAAAGTTATGCCTGCACATAGTAAATAAGAATTCAGAGAAATGTACAATGATGAACAATGAAGTCTCTCTTCCACCCCAAACCCCTAGTCCCATGGTCACCTCTGTAGAAATAAAGCTGTTAATATATATATGAACTTTAAAAAAAAAAGGTGGTTGGTAGAATACTCTATATACTGTTCTACACCTTGCTTTTATCACTGAAAATACCTTGGAGGTCTGTTTAAATCAATAGACATCTACCATGAACTTTCAAATGTCTGCCATATGGCTGTGCTGTAACTGATTTAATCATTCTCCCTATTAGTAAACTTGTAGTGTATTTCCAGTTGTTTTTTTTTTAAAGATTTTTTATTTTTTTATTAGAGAGAGAGAGTACAAGCAAGGGGAGCAGCAGGCAGAGGGAGAAGTAGGCTCCCCGCTGAGCAGGGAGCCCAATACGGGACTCGATCCCAGGACCCCGGGAACATGACCTGAGCTGAAGGCAGCCGCTAAACGGTCTGAGCCACCCAGGCACCCCAGTTTTTTTTTGTTTTTACAAGCAATGCTGCAATAGACATCTCTATATGTATAGCCTGGGGCACATTTCATAATATATCTGTAAGATAATATTCTGGACATGAGATTACTGTGAGACTAAGCATTTTAAACTGATGAATAGAAGGGGGAAAAACCCACTATCCACTTAAATCTGTAAAAGGTTTCTATTTGTCAAGAAATGGAAACTGCAATGCTTTTTAGGGTAAAATGTTTCATTATTCAATACAAATCATTCAAATGTGTTATTTAGTTATTCAAAAGCAGTAAGTTAAAACTTCATTGTAATTGATCATGTAAAAGTTAATCCATGCTGGAGGCAGAATTAGATTTGTATGGACTAGGTTGCTTTTGGAGGAAATGTGTTTTAGCCAAGGCAATATTGAGAAATGCTAGGGAGATGCTAGGCGTTCTTTATTAGTCTCTTAGATTTCTGGGAATCAGATCCTAGGCGACAGATGGGAGGGGAGCTGTCAGAATTGGTTTTTTTGTTTGTTTGTTTTTTTGAGAGGGAGAGAGAGTGCGCAGGCACGAGCACAAGAGGGGAAAGGGGCAGAGGGAGAAAGAGAAGGAGCCTCCCCCCTGAGCAGGGAGCCAGACCCCGGAGCAACCCCAGGACCCCAGGATCCTGACTGACTGAGCCAAAGGCAGAGGCTTAACTGACTGCCCCCCAGACAGAACTGTTTTAACGAGAGACTTTGTGTAGTTCAAGCAGAAGCAGAGTGTTTCATGGTTCAAGTGACAAAAAATGAGGCAGGGCTGGGAAGAGGCCATTTTCTTTGCCTTTGCACAGACTCTAGAAGCCTCAGCATTGATGATGTATTGACAATAATATATTTTACATTTTTAAAAAAGATTTATTTGAGAGAGAATGAGAGGGAGAGGTAGAGAGAGAGGGAGAGAAAATCTCAAACACTCCACGCTGAGTGCGGAGCCTGTTGTGGGGCTCCATCCTCAGGACAGTGAGATCACAACCTGAGCCAAAATCGAGTCAGATGCTTAACCAACTGAGCCACCCAGGGACCCCTCTATTTTGAGCCTCTTATAAATAGTACCGCTGTGAACATTTTTTTAAAAAGATTTTATTTTTTTTAAGTAATCTCTACACCCAACATGGGGCTCAAACTCACACCCCAGAATCAAGAGTCGCACACTATACCGGCTGAGCCAGACAGGTGTCCTCACTGTGAACATTTTTATACATGTTTTTTGGTGCCCATATGTACAGATATGTGTTGGAATATGCCTAGGAGTGGAATTGCTGGGTCACAAATATGCATATATTCGTTCAGCTTTAGTTTTTCAAAGTGGTTATACCACATTACACCCACACCAGTGGAGTGTGAGAGTTCTGGTTCCTTTTCATCCTCATCAATACTCGGTGGTTTCTTCTTTTTTTTAACCATTCGGTTTCTATATTTTTCAGTTTAGCCATTCTGATGCATGTGTAATAGTTATCACATAGCTTTAATTTGCATTTTCCTGAAGATGACATTAAGCATTTTTCACATTTATTGCCTATTTGGATATCCTCTTTTGTAAAGTACCTGTCTAGGTTTTTTGCCAGTTTTTCTTTATTGTTGTCTTTCCTTATCGACTTGTAGGAGCTCTATATTTTGGACATGAGTCCTTTTTCAAGTGTTGCAAATATCTTCCACTCTGTGGCTTGTCTTTTCGTTATCTATGCTGTTTTCTTTTTTCAGTGAAAGAAGTGCTTACATTTACTGTAGTATAATACATCAGTCTCTATGCCCTTATTTAAAAATGTTTTGCCAGAGGGGTGCCTGGGTGACTCAGTTAAGTGTCTGCCTTCAACTCAGGTCATGCTCCCCAGGTCCTGGGATTGAGCCCCAAGTCAGGCTTTCTGCTCCCTGGGGATCCTGTTTCTCCCTCTCCCTGCCATTCCCCCTGCTTGTGCTGGCTCACATGCTGTCAAATAAATAAAATCTTAAAAAAAAGTTTTGCCATTGTTAACCAGCAGTGGAGGATTCAACTGCAGTTACACTAGCTCTCAGTCGCTTCAGTTAAATCTGTGTGTGCTGAGACCACAAAAATACAGCTGGTTTGAGGACCTAAGTCCTAATCATATGGCTTAGAATGAGCGTCCCCATCCTGCTCCAAGGTGATGAAGATGGAGAGAATGGCTTTTGAGTGGGAAATTAGTAATGTTTGCTAAAAGCTGCATCCTACAATTTTTGATATGTGATATTCCCACTATCATTTAAGGCTAAATATTTTTAATTTCATTAGTATGTATGTATCTTTTTTTTCCTCATGAATTATTTAGAAGTGTTTTAGGAAGGTGGCTTTTTGTTACTGATTTCTAATTTTACGGCATTTTGGTCAGAATTTATGTTAAATATGGTATCAGTTCTTTAGTATTTGTTGAAAATTGCTGGTGGCCTAGTATGTACTCGGTATTTGCAACTGCTGCATGTATGTTTGGGAAGATGTGAACTTTCTCTAAGCTAATCCTACACCTACAGCGCTACAAAAGCACTACTGTCCCTTCTCTTTTGTCCTTTAAGAACCTCATCCTCATTTAGCCAAACCCACTGCCCGACGGAAAGAAAAAGGAAGCATTTTTTAGTTATGTGTAGAGGTGTACATCTAAAGGGAGGGCCCCTTGGACTTGGAGCTCATTTTTACCAGCTAGATCACTGATCTGCACATGTGTGTATATCCTATCAATTTAGAAGCACATACCATCTGGAGATGTTTGCTATTCTGTGAGTTTGTCTTAGTATGTGGGATCTCATTAACAACTTAGGAGTTGGAGTGTATTTGTTTTTTATTGCTGTGTAACAATCACCACAAACACAGCAGCTTAAAACAACACACATTTATTATCTTTCCATGGGTCTCAGCACAGCTTAGCTGGGTGCTCCACAGGGGCCGAAATCAGGTATGACTGGGCTGTGTTCCTTCCTTCAGTTCTTCCAAGCTCACGTGGTCATTGGCAGAATTCAGAATTCAATTCCTTATGTTGTAGGCCTGAGGTCCCTGCCTTTTTGCTGGCTGTCAGCTAGAAGCCAGTCTCCGCTCCTGGAGGCAGGCCCCTGCCATACGGCCCTCTCCCAACATAGTGGCTCACTTCTTCAAGGCCAGTGGGAGACTCTCTCAGTCCAGTCAGCTAAGACAGAGTCATATAATGTAACATCATCATGACAGAGACATCCCATAACCTTTGTCATATCCTGTTGATATGTTGCAAGTCTCAGGTTCTACCCACACTCAAGGGGATTACACAGGGTGTGACTCATTGGGGTCATCTTAGAATACTGCCTACCACTAATACGGTAAACTGTTTTTATCACAACCAACTTCTGAATTCTGGAAAGGGAAGATAAGAAGGGGCTGTGTGCATGGCTGCTGGTAAAGACTACTTTTCTTCCCAGCAAAGCTAATTGAGCAACAGGCCTCAAATTCAGCAGAGCTCTGAGGTTAGAATGTTGTAAAGAGAAAAAGATAAGAACACCTCCCCCCACCCCCCAGGGCCCAGTTCCAGCCTCCTCGTACCTCTGCTACTACATATATACATTTTGGATCTATATTTTCCAGATTGGTTACTGCTCCAGGTCTCTAGCAGAGTCATCATGGAAGGGGAACCTCTGACCTTGAGGTGTCATGGATGGAAGAATAAGCTGGTGTACAAGATGCTTTTCTACCAAAATGGCAAGGTTTTTAGGTTTTCTCCTCAGAATTCTGAAGTCACCATTCTGAAGACCAACCTGAGTCACAATGGCATCTATCACTGCTCAGGCGAGGGAAAGCAACGCTTTGAATCAGCAGGAGTATCTATCACTATAAAAGGTATGTATCTGAATAGTCATAGAGCTGTAGTTTTAAGGACCATCACAAATCATCACTTAAGTTTGCAAGTGAAGACTTAAGTTCCGGAGAGGTAGCTGTCTCCCTGAAGGCCATGCAGTGACCAGTGGCTGGGCCTCAGTCTGTTGCTTTTTCCAGTAAACCACAATGCCTCATCAGTAACCCCAGGAGCTAACATGAAGGCCAGGGCATAGTGAGGATCTATTTCATCAATTTTATTTTAGTTGCAAGGAATAGAGATTCACTCAAGGGAGGTAGGAGAGTTATTAGAAAATGACTCAATGGAATCTCATAAAAAGCTCTATAGAAACAGAAGCCATGAAGACATTAGGAGTCAGTTATACTTTCTGTCTATCTCTTGAGGCAATGTGACCTCTCTGGTTGTACTTCTCTTTGAACATCTGCTAACTACAGCAGCTTCCTCTGTTCTAGCTTGCATGTGGGCCTGGACTGTGGTTCTTTCATCTTAGGACTCATAACTACTAGCAACTTTTTTCTATCTGAAAAAGAATTCATTCCTATGGGGAAGAGAGGATTGTCCCAGATTATTTTTTGAGACAGTAAAACAAGTAACGAGTCACTGACCCGGCTAGTGTGTGGGTCAGTATCCATTCCTGGTGGACCATTACCTAAAGGCATGGCCACATAATCAATAACATGGCTATTCAGGGAGGCATGGACTGTGTGGAGGTATTCTCCACAGTAGGAAATGAAGAAGATGGCAATTATAAGAGTATCTGTGAGGAAACCCCAAGATTGCCTCTCTGCTGGAAGTGGGAAAAATTGTCTTACGGATGCATTCTCTAGGAGCAGGTTTCTCAAAGAGGAAAGGGGTATACCTTCTGTAAAAAGAATCTTGACACTGAAGCAGGCAACCCTGTCCCCATCAACTTTTTCTTTAGAGCTATTTCCAGCCCCAGTGCTAAAAGCATCTTTGTCATCACCCATCCTGGAGGGGCATCTGGTCAACCTGAGCTGTGAAACAAAGTTGCTCCTACAGAGACCTGGTTTGCAGCTTTACTTCTCCTTCTACATGGGCAGCAAGACCCTGCTGAGCAGGAACACATCCTCTGAATACCAGATACTAACTGCTAAGAGAGAAGATTCAGGGTTATACTGGTGCGAGGCAACCACAGAAGATGGCAATGTCATCAAGCGCAGCCCTGAGTTGGAGCTTCAGGTGCTTGGTGAGAATGAGGGGAATTGACAGGAGAAGGCACAAGGAGAAGATGCTCCCTTTTCTCCTTTGGGGCTGAGGTTTGTTTACGGGGATTTCATGGCCCAGCCAAGGAAAACCCATGAACAGGCTTTTCACTCCTGATTCGTAACTTCACTATTCTCATGAACTTCATTAAATTTCCTTTCCTTTCTCCCTTTATTTCCTTCCTTTCTTCATTTCCTATTTTCTCTCCTCTTTCTTTTCCCCTTGCTCCTCCTCCTTACCCCCCACATCTAATCAACAATATATTGAGTTCCTCCCATCTATTGTCATGGGTGTGGGGATATGAAGACATTGGGGTGCAGTTCTTACTTCAAGGAGCTCATATGGTAGATTGGTGAGGTTGGGATTTTGTGGATTGCACGTAAATACTTACCCAAGTGTTGATCTGGCTGAGGTACTCCAAAACAAAGACTCTTTGGGAAAAAAGTTTATCTTCAACCCAAATTCATTTCAAGCATTAAATGACATAGAAATAGCCTTTATGCCTGAAACTAGGAAGTCCATCCACTGAGAGGGCCCTTGGCAGTTAAACTCTTACGAGGAGCCTGCCCCTGGTCCGTACACCACATGCCCCCTGAAATTACCAGTGTCTCCACTGGGGACAGGCACACCACATGTCAGCCAGCCTTCCCTCCCAAATATAACTCAGCCAGATCCCTCTGCACTCTAACTAGCATTTCTTCTTGTCATTTTTCTTTTTCAGGCCTCCAGACACAAACTCTTGTTTGGTTTCACGTCCTTTTCTATCTGGCAGTGGGAATGCTATTTTTGGTGGACACCATTTTCTGTACGATTATATATAAGGAACTGCGAAGAAAGAAAAAGTGGAATTTAGAAATCTCTTTGGACTCTGGTCATGAGAAAAGAGTAAACTCCTACCTTCAAAAAGAGAGGTATTTAGAAGAGCCATAATGTCATGAACGAGAGCAGCTGCAAGAAAGGACATACCAGAAGCCACGGAGGGAGGGCTGTGGCAGCCCAGCAGGGGCCCACCACGGATCTAGACAGTCCCTTGCCTTCTTCTCTGTGCAAGCGCTGGGGTGCAAACATCTGAAAGTTTAAACACATTAGAACTGTGAGTCTCATGACAGATATCTGATTAACTCTGAAATAAAGCAAACAAATGAGCTGACTTCAGTGGAGATAAACTTGAAAACTGGGTCATCAGGGACGATCTGAAGTGAGACCTACTCTAAAGAAATCTTTGAAAACTTGTAAGTCCAGTCTAACCTGATTATCCTACTATGTAGTTTGAGCAATAGTATTATTTCTAGGGACAGGGTGAAAAGGTAAGTGTGTGCATATGTATAAGAGATTAAGATAGAAAAGAGACAGAATGAGGGTGAGGAGGAGGCAGAAAAAGAGAGAATGAATATCAGGGATACAAGAGAAAAGCGTGTAGACCCCAAAGCAGGAAAGGTAATTTAGAGATAGATGGAGCCTGCTTAAGATTCTCTCTCTCCCTCTCCTTCTGCCCCTCACCCCCCCCCAAAAAAGATAATGCTACTCTCCCACTTGGGCTCTCATTTGGAAGCAAAATATTTTTCTGCTATCTAGAACACAGCTGAAATAAAACTGAAACATGTGAAAAGACTTTATTAAAGCTTAGAAAAAACCAAAAGGGGTATAAACAAACCTAGTAATGAATTCTAGATTTGGTTTTTTAAAACAGTGGAGCTTATCTGCCAAACAAGGATGCTTCCCAGCCTAACCTCTGTCCTGGTTCCACGTGGCAGGGCTCACCTTTAACATCCACCACCTAATACTCTTAAAGCAACTCAGCACTGTGAGGTAGATGGAAGAGCACCTTAGCCCACTGCTTTCCTAGTCTGTGGACAGTGAGAATGTTCGCTCTTTCAGAATAAAGTACAGCAATTATCATCTCAGTAGTACAACTCCAACATTTAAAAAAAAATTTGAGAGTGTGAGCATGAGTGGGGGGGAGGGGCAGAGGGAGAGAATCAAGCAGACTCCCAGCTAAGCGCAGAGCCCGATGCAGCGTTCTATCTCATGACCCATGAGACCATGACCTGAGCCGAAACCAAGAGTTGAAGGCTTAACCTACTGAGCCACCGAGGCACCCCAGACCCTGAGGCCTTGACCCATCCTGTCCCAAAGATGTCACCAAAGATTAGTCATGAGAAAGAATTCAAGGACAAAGCACAGCAAATGAGCTGAGGGACACTAGCAGGAAAGTTTATTAAAGTGAAAGTACACTCTTGAGATGTGAGTGGGAAAGAGGGAGGTGGGGGACTGTGCCTGGGGATTCAGGTTTCTATTTTTATCAACAGTTGTTAACAAGAGGGTGGAATATTCATTATTTGGGGCAGGATTGGAAGCAGGTTTTCTTGCTTTTTCTTCCTTATTTGGCTAGGGGTTTCCTGTCATGGCACCTGCCATCTTGGGCCTGCCTGGTTCAATCCAGCTTCTTAAGGAGTGCTGGGGGGCCAGGCCTCTGACATTCACAATGACTGGCCATGACTTCCTCTTTGCTGGCCTCCAGGTATCCTGTTAGAACCTAACTGCCTACTCTAACATTTGAACAATTTGCACTTCAGTCTACCCTTATTTCTGGCCTATAGCTGTGACAGGAATAGGTTCTTGGAGTCCCCCAAATTCATGCCAACCTGCTGGTTCCCCAAGCCTTGGTGCTAGGTCTAGTCAAGGCCTGGTACCACCTCACACTTTCTCCAGGTGGGTTGTCCAGCCCTCCAATTTCCCTACAGCGGTTGGGTGCCCTGTCCCTGACACTTGTCCCTACCTATCTAAGGGCTCACTCCTCTTTATTTTTATTCCATCCAGTACTGGAAACACACACAGAAATGACTGGATCCAAGTGGGGAGAGAGGCCCACAGGGAGAGAAGGGAAGGAACTGCAAAACATAGCAGAAGGCAAACTGTCACCTGCTGAGAACCGCCCCCCCCCCCCCGCCCCGCCCCGAGCTCTCCCAAAGTCCTATCCTTCCTGGAGCACCCAGCATGTCTTACCTGAACAGAACAGGACATTTCAGCCCAAAGGAGGACATGCTTGCAAACAGTATCTGCTCCAGAGCTCCTCAGTGGGTTGGTCAAGGCTTTATCAAGTTTTCGTTGCAGTCTGATTTCTTCCACTGCCCAGTCCTACCTCTTCACTCTTCCCTTCACAGGGATTCATCCTTAATAAACATCTTGCACCCCAAACTGTCCAAAATCTGCTCCCAGAATCCAGTCTGAGTGTTTTGTATGCCACTGCAAAATTTATAGTCTTTGGAGTCTTATAAGACCCATCTGTCCCAATAACACTTCTAAAGACATACATATTTTTAATAGAGAACAAAAGAAATTGGTAAGTAAAAAATATGCACACATGGCTCCATTTTGCACAGAATAAGCTTGATATTCCTGTGAATGTCCTTTGTTTAACACCTTATCAAATTGAGCTGGCTTATGATGCAAAATGCTCTCTCTCCCTCTATCTGAAAAGGAGAAGGAATATCTTCATGTATTCTGATTGTACTTTTATGCATAATGAAGCCTTGCATTTTAAGGTCAGGGTTTCAAATTTCACTAGTTAGCATTAGAGGCAAAACACAAGCCTGCTAATTTTACTTGTAGAAATCAAGAAACTGATCAATAGAATTTTATTCAATTATGGTGAAACAAGAAACATACAGGACTTTATGTCTCTAGTTACCACCACCCCCTGTCATATATATGGATTGCTTTACCCATCTGACCTGTATCTTCCTGGAGTGTATGAATCCATAGGAATATATGAAGATGTCTTGCAGGTACATTGGCAATGACCATTTAAGACAATAAGGCTCCCAATCCCCAACTTCCATGCAGTCTCCCACTATATTGTGTGCCTAAGGACATGCCTGCTGTAAATGTTTGAAGCTAGTTCTGCTTTTCTACCTACTCTTTCCCACTCACCCTTCACCCAGTTTGCAAAAGAAAGGTATATCTCTTGCTCATCCCGAATCATGACTTACTGCCCTGAGGATAAAAAAAATCCGTGTAGCAGAGACAAAGGCACTATAGACCAAAGGTAAGTTTTTGTGTCTCTCATATTTATGGGTATTAAGGGCAAAGCTAGGAATGAGAAATAAATATGTTGGCCCATGTGGAGATGTTCTGAATCCTGGTATATTTTGAGAAGTAAAGCAGAATTTATGGCAATTTTCACGTAAAGACCTTGCCTCTTTATTATTATTTAAACAGAACCAACAGCAGCAAAAACACCTTGGCTCTTGAGGAAGAGTCCTGAGAACAAGGCAAAGAGTGTAAGAAATACTGACAAATAACTGCATCTGATCTCCTCTAGGGCAACAAATTTATGGACAGCTCTACACCTGATCTATTCATCTGTGAATCAGGCTGTGTAAGAATAGACTACGGTTTGTTAAGGTAGCAACTCCTAAATCTCAGCACCTTAAACCAACAGAGGTTTGTCATTCATTCACGTTACACCAGAGTCAAATGAGAAGGCTTGTTAGGTGGCACTTTCGGGAACATTGCCGGCAGCCGTGCCAGAGCTGAGAGAGAGCATGGAGTACCCCATACCGGGATTTAAATTCTCCAGCCCAGACGTGACACACAACACTCCCACCTCACTGGTCAGAACTAGTTATCTAGCTCCATTCAACCACAAAGAGGATGTAAAACTCTACAGAAAGCCTAAGGCAAGAAGCCGGAAACATTGTGAAAGCACAAACGCTATCACGGAGTATTTCAGATATATAAAAAGCATGCTGGGAATTATCAAGTGGCTTCCAAGAGCAGTCTCCCTGCATTTTCAGTATTCTAAGTAAAGGGAAGGAAGGAGTTGACAACTCACCCATGATTCAGTGTTTCTCAGTTGCATATTCTGCCTGAATAGAGAGGAAACTTCTTTTACCTCTAACAGATCAACATTACATCTCCAAGTAAAAGGAATGTACAGAAAGGAAGTTGGTGTTACACATTTTCTTGAACAATTTAGAAGAATTTTTCGTTTTTACCAAAAAAAAAAAAAAAAAAGTACTGGATAATACTGTAAATCCCTGTACACATTTTTACTTGGTTGCAGATATGCTCATCAACCATTTCTTTGTTCCTAACTGGCACACGTTAGTAGATTCTACTGTAAATCAGCTCTTAACGGTCACGAACACACTTTTTTAAGGTCTACATTTTTTTTTTACTTTATTATGTTAATCACCATACATTACATCATTAGTTTTTGATGCAGTGTTCCATGATTCATTGTCTGCATATAACACCCAGTGCTCCATGCAGAACGTGCCCTCCTCAATACCCATCACTGGGCTAACCCCTCCCCCCACCCCCTTTTACGTTTAATTAATGACTAGAAGCGGCGCGTTAGTTGTGGCACCGCGCGGAGGCGTTGTGCTCCGAGTGCGTCCCGCAGCGGGCCGCTGGCTCCACCCTGTGGCCACCTGTGCACACTGCCACCTTAGCTCGCCTTCCGCAACCTTCCCCCAAACCTGGTGAGAGATCTTGCTTCCCCAGAGCCGGCAGCGGCAAGAAATGGGCTTTAGGCTGGGTCGGCGGCAGCGGCGGCGGCCGAATCAAGGAGAGCAAGGAGTCGTGCGTGCCCAGTTCGTCCCGCTATCCAGATGAGCACCCAACTCGTGGGCGGCCCCCTAAACCCCGAAGTACTTGTTTGTTCGGGGTTCGCAGGTCTGAGAACCCGGTTCCCACTGGGCCCGGGCACCAACAGCAGGTAGCAAAGCAAAAAGTGCGGATTGGCGGGCGGCTTCCCGGATCTGCGTAGCTGAAAAACCCCACTCGCGGCCGGGGCCGGGGCCGGGGCCGACCCGCCTGCTCGCAGACCCGGCGGTGGCGCCACCCCGCGGCGAGGAGGACTACGACTGGGAGACCGCGGGAAGGGGACGGGCGCTGACCTGCCGGGAGACCCAAGAGAAAGGTGGCTGGAGGAGACAGCAGCGGGGAAGGAGCAGGTGGGGAGTGAATGAAGGCCGTTCAGTCAAGCACAGAGGGACTTTCCTGCCGGTTCCACCATCGTCAGAGCCAGGAAGGGACCCCGGGCCCGCAGAACCGGCTGGGCAGTGGGCAGGGAGCCCGCAGGCTCTTCAAGGGCTGCTCTGAAATGCATTCGGGAATCACGTGGCTTCTCCCAAAGACCTG